AGAGAGAGAGAGAGAGAGAGAGAGGGGGGGATGGGGACAAGGGAGGGAAGGGGAAGTTAGAAAAGTTGTAGTAGGTTTAACGAGTTAAGTTCACCGTTGGCAAGAGTCGTAGAATAGAATGAAGGTATTAACGTTTGCGAAGTACCTCTTACTTATTGGAATGCCTATTCACGAAAGAAATAGAATTTTCAATGAAGGAAAAGTGAAGGGAAGAATATTGAGAAGAGGAGGAGGAGGAGGAGGAGGAAGATTGAGAGGGGAAGGGGTTTTATAATAATATCAAATGATTATATTATTCGAGGATAAATTCGTGTTGGGAAAGTAGTTTATTTTTTCTTTTATTTTTATTTGTATTTTTAAATTCAACACGAATTGTATTTATCAGCAATTTAAATGACTACCACCCACCACCACCACCCCATCCATCCCCTTGGAACGATCTAACTTTTAATCGATTAATTAAATAATACGGGATACGTTAACGTTAAATATTCGCGAATAAATCAAGAAACATAGGATAAGGGATAAGGGTGGTGCTAAAATAAGGGATAATGATAATGATGATGATGAAAAACGTTGATTAAAAAAAAGAAAAAAATCGATGTGGTCGAATATGTCAAAAGGTTTCTCTCTCTCTCTCTCTCTCTCTCTCTCTCTCTCTTTTTATCACGATTATTATCATCATAGTGGTCGTTTTACTTTTTTTCTTATTTTTTTTTTTGGAGGGTGGGTAGGCAAAGACCCAAGGGAACATCGATTTCTCGGTTATGGCAAAAAAGGGACGGAAGGGAGGGTAAAAAACGGTGCGAACATGGCTGCTAGGTGAAGGGAAAACGAGGGAACACTTTCGCAGATTTTTGTCCTCCGATGCATGCGTTTAACGACGAGAAGAAGAAAAAGAGAAAAAGTAAAAAGGAAAAAGGAAAAAAAAAGTAAAAAGAAACGACAGGACAAAGAGAGAGAGAGAGAGAGAGAGAGAGAGATGGAAAAAAACCCCCTCGAAATTGTAACACGTCAATAGATTACTATTGAAAAAAAAAAATAAATTAAGAAATAAAATATCCCGTAGTAACACTTTAATCGTTATTAATAATTAAATAATAATAACGTTAATAAAAATATTATCGAGATAAATCGATAAACAATTAGTGTTATCTGTGTTTTTTTTTATATTTTATCCGTTCGAATAAAAATAAGATTAAGAATATGAACCAATCGTATCGCAGAAGATGATCCGTAAACGGATCAACTTAAAAAGTCTATTTTATCTATCGAACCCCCTTCACCATCCCCCTTCCCCTTTCCCCCTTAATTCTGGTAACAAAAGTCTAACGAAACCTAGAAGCATCGTCTCTATTGCGATAAAAACTATCGATTACCTTTAAAAACCTGAGCTTTGGTTTAGAGTACTCGGGTTTTATATCAACTAACGTGAATCGGAACCTTTCCCCCTTGCCCCCGTCCCTCACCATATCCTCCACCATCGTATAACTCGTAAAAATAGACACGTACACCCCAATATATATTTATTTTCAATAAATCTCTACGATTGTTTTATTTATTTATTTTTATTCTTCTACTTTCCTATCTTATTTATTTATTTTAAGGGCTAAAGGTATCCGCGAGTGCTACAAGGGATAAAGGGTGTACGTAATATTATACAATGCAATGCTTTTACTGAAACTAGCTGCTACCACACACAACGAGAACGAATAAAACAATAGACAATGAGAAAAGAAGAAGAAAATGAAAAGGTTGGCAACGCGAGTGCATATACATACACACGCACGCACACACACAGCACATATTTTCGTTGCATTGTTGAAAAAAGAATCGTTGGGTTTCTCATGAGTCGGCGTGCTGGGATTTTCCACGAGACGACGAGGCGACACTCCTGACCCACCTGTTACTATCAAACCCCCCCCCATTCACCCGCCCTCCTGTTTCACCCTTCTTCTACCAAGCCCTGCCACCCCCTCCCTTTTCCGCTCTCTTTCTCTTCGTCCATCTCTATTTTACTAACGTCCTGTGAATAGAAACCCGCTAGAGTAAAATTCCGTGACCGTCGTCGTGTAAGTTAACAACAGTTTATTGTTCAACGTATTTTATAATCCACACCCTGACCTTTAAGAAAAATAAAAATAATAATAATAATAATAATAATAATAATAATGATATGCGATGTTTAAAAGCACATGCAACGCGTGTTACCACGTTTAATTATACAGATTACATACATATATAGATACATACATACATGTAGTCAGTTTGGTCATTTATAACGTATCAGATAAGAACAACGTTATGCTAACATCAACCTAGATGATACTATCATCAACGCAACATTTTATTAACCCTCTCTTTCTCTCTCATTATTATTCCACCCCATTTATTTTCGACCCCTTACCAACGTTATTAGGTATATGTGTGTGTATGTGTGTGTGTGTGTTATTAGAAAAAATCGAGATGTTCTTTATATATTTTTCTTCGAAAATTTCTATCATCGATAGTTTCGAATTAAAAAATTGTACGAGGAAAAATTTGGAAATTGAATTTCGTTTGCGAAATGATCGGCTTTTTTTTAAATTAGAAATTCTCTCTTTTCCAATTTAATTATTATTAATAAAATCTAATATTATTGCAATTGGTATTATAATATTATCGAAGGATGAGCGATTGAATGAAAATTAATTTTAAACTTTGTTTTTAAAAGCGTTAAATATGATTTGTTCGTTGACATTTACGGGGATTGGAAATATGATTTAAAGAGAATGACGATGTGTATTCTTCCGTACAATTCATTCATAAAAGATAATTATACTTATTACTTTATATACTAATAATAATAATAATAATAATAATAATAATAATAATAATAATAATAATAATAATAATGAGAAATATGTAAATGTCGATTCCTTCCTTCGATCGATTTAATTTCATTTAATTTATTGAACTTTTGTCAGTTTACTCGTGGCTGAGTCCATTGTGAAACTATAGAATATAAGAATGAATCCATTTCATTTACAACGAAATTTTCTTTCGCTCTCTCTCTCTTTCTCTCTCGGTTGTATATTCCTGTAAAAATAATTTCATACGCGTATAATCGTTCAAAGATAAAATACAAATTATTCAATCGAATTTTCCATGAATGTTTTCAAAAGGGTTTTCCAATTTCAAAAGCAGTATCGATCGTACGACGTTGATAAGAAATTTACCAAATTTCCAAAACAACAACGTGCAAAAATATAATAATAATAATAAAAAAAAAAAAACCAAAAGGATAAAAGAAAATTCACGACGATATTATTCTTATAAAAATTTCGTCGAATTTACTTTACCCTCAACTCAAAGGTTTCTTCTCCAACGTTAAATGAAATGATCTGCGGTAGTAGAAAGCTCGGTGTGACACAGGTGGTTTTAACTTTTCGATAACGAATAGAACACGAACAATAATACGAGTAATAGAAACTCACGTAACTCTCGAGACAATCAATACCCCCTCTTCTATAATAAATAGTAATATCATTTATATATTATAACCCCTAAATTAATCGATCAAAAACAAAACAAAAAACCCGCCCAATTCGATGTATAATAATTATCAAAAACTAACGTCAACAATTTTCTCCAAAATAATTAATTTTTTTCTTTGAAATAAAACAAAGTATCCTTTCAAATATAATAACAATTATTATTCGTATGACTCACCCTACATGTAATATATATATACGATACAAATCAAAACAAAATCACACTAAAGAAGAAAAAGAAGAAGAATAAGATAATTGAAAGAATCTCAAACTGCAAAGTGTGTGACAGAATCAGAATTAAAAAGATAGATAGTGGAAATGAGAGAGAATAAGAGATAGAGGAAGATAAAGGAAAGGAAAAGGAAGGAAGGAAGGAAAGAAGGAAGGAAGGAAATAAGGAAAGAAAAAAAACTGTTGCGTCCTGTTGCGTCCTGTTGAATAAAGCAACCCGTTTTGTCAGCGTTTTGAGTGAGTAAAGGCGAGACACGCCTGAGCCCGGCACAAGGCCAGAACCGTCTGCCGTTGCGTCTGACCGTACCGGAGTCGCATCACTGACTGAAACTCGTTCGCTTTCTCTCTCACCTTCTCTACTAGCTTTCTCTCTTTTAAAGGTATCTAACGCGCGCACGCGACCAACTGGTTGGTTGGTAGTATATTAGTGTAGTAGTAGTAGTAGTAGTAGTAGTGGTAGTGGTTGGTAATACTTTCCTGGTTTCGACACGTTGGCGCCACCTTGGTGCCCACTAAAGAAATCACTATGACAAACCAATCTTATGAACATAATACATTAATAAATAATATATAATTATTATGTATAATATAAATAATACAATGTCCGCGTATTTTTTTAATATGTACACGTTTGGTTTAAAATATGTTTTTTCCTTTTGAAATAGATTTTTGTTAACGCACTTAAGATCTAGGAAGAGTATTGTTATTTGTTATAATATTTGATCATTTGGATTATTGATATTTTTTCTATTCGATTCTAATAATAATGTAATACGTGTTAGAATTTAATTTGGAAGGTTTTTTTTTTTCTTTTATTTATCAATTTTTATTTCAAATTTATTTTTAACGCACCTAAGATCTAAAACGAGTATTGTTATTTGTTATAATATTTGATCATTGGGTAGACGATTATTGATACTTTTTATCTTTGATTCTAATAATAATGTAATAGGAGTTAGAATTTCATTTGGAAGGTTTTTTTTTCTTTTATTTATCCATTTTTATTTCAAATTTATTTTGAACGCATCTAAGATCTAAAACGAGTATTGTTATTTGTTATAATATTTGATCACTAGTACTTTTTTTTCTTCGATTCTAATAATAATGTAATATATATATACGAAATAAATTTAAAATAAGAAACAACCAACAGAAATATTTTCTAATTACTTTTAATATAACACTGGTTTTTAAATAACAAGAACCAAAAGGTATGCAAAATAAATTATTCACTTTTAATAGAATGAAATCTTGAAAAGCAGGGGTATAATGATAATCTCATTAGAGATTAAGTTACCATTTTATTAAGATCTACGTAAACAGGGTAAATAAGAGAAAGTTAAGTTAGTTGTTGGTATTAAACTTTGAGTTCGTTGTTAGATAATAAAGTAATGATGGGTTGGGTTGGATTGGGTTGGGTTAAGGTTGGTCTGAGTTAAATGTCGGAGGTTATTTCGCAATGGTGACTCGGAGATTATATATTTTTCAACGTATTAACCAGATCGTTACTATTTTCGTCGTAAGCTAGGAAGGATTGTCTACGAGACGAATAAATGGACGTTGAGTCCATGATCCATGGAATTAAAACGTGGTCGAACGAATGAACAAACTGTACTAAACCTGGGCCTGAACTTGGGCCTAATCCTGGACCAGTTATTCGTTAAACACGAAAATAATATCTCAAATATTTAAAAAAAAATGGATAAATCAAACAATTTTTCACAAAAGCTTCTTATATAATAAATTGCCTAACTTGTGGTTCGTTCTCTTATTGAACGAATCCACTTATTATCCCCATTTCCAGACACCACCACTCTAACGTCTTTTATTTTAACGTTCTGACAGGGCCAATCGACGTTACTTTTCTCTTCAACGACGGCGACGACGGACTCATTAATTACCATCAAGTATAATTAGACATTAATTAATGATAATTAATAATCACAGAACTATGTTTTCAATCGTAGTTATATTATAATTAAAAATTGATATCGAATATCGTTCGATTAATTATCTCGTGAAAATGATTATTATTGATAAAATAATATGATAAAATGATCGTTGATTTTCTGAAATATCATTCGTTTAGTTTTAACATGCTTCATCATGAGGAGGACTCGTTTTAAACTTTCTCTACAATTTGCAGAAGTGCTTTTAACCTCGATATATTATCTATCTATCTATATATATATATATCTTCTCGTGGAATTTAAATGAAACACTTTGCAGAGAGAAGCTTGATCATTGCACGAAAGAGAAAACACGCAACGCGAATTTGTTTGTCATGAAAATTATGGGATCTAGGTATGAAGTGACATCTATTTCGTACGCTCTTATCGAACAATACACACACCCGCATGTACAACACACACCTACGCGAAATTCTCTCTCTCTCTCTGTCTCTCTCTCTCACACACACACACACACACAAATGCTAACTTTTTGCCATTTGATTTATTTGACCAAATTTTCACGACGATCTCGTTATCTCGAACGATTTATTTGTTGTTCAATTGATACGCGTGTATCATTAACCGTGAACATTTCTAAATCACGAGGAGAACTGATAAACAAGAAAAAAAAAGAAAAATAAAAAAAACAACTGATTCGAGTTCGAAATTTATCGTGTTCGTTCGACCTTTATTCTTTCTTTCTTTTTTTTTCTTTTTTAAACATAGTCCGATAATTATCGTGAAAATGGGCAAACCCTTTTCCCGATGATGAATCCCCTCCCCCTCACTTGGAATTAGTTCTGGCCGGGTTTATTCGTAACGAACGATTATTGCTGCTGTTACTGTTCTCTTTCGTATCGTATCGAAATACAATACATTTTCAATATCGAATTCTCTACACATACGTTTTCCCTTAACATTGCCAATCAACGAATAACATTCGATTTCGATAATCATTAATTTGATATTTACAAATCGTCGATAGATTCGATTTAAATATTCGTTAGAAATATTTGAAAAAATATTCCCATTAAATTACAATCATTTGCATATATATATATATATATATATTGTTATATATTATACAGTTAAGCTCGTATATAAAATTAATGCAATAAATTGTTCCAAGAGTAGGAGTATGAAAAAAAATAAAATAAAATAAAAAGTAACGTGTTTTAATATCTCCTCGTATAATTTGCCTAATTATTGAAGAATTTTTTTTTGTAAAAGGATAGATACACCATTCGTCGTTTGAGTCCGAAAAAAATTGTTCTCTTGTGTAAAAAAAAAAATACAAAAAAGAGATTCGAATTTAACAATTGACTCGTTTTAAAAAAGCCATTGGTATTGGTGTTGCAAATATCTGTCAAAGAACGATTCAAAGAGTTTAAACGAATGTTTCAAGGTAAATCTAACTACTAGACGTGTCGTCGTAATTTAAACAACAAAGAGCAAAAGAAAATGTACAACTAATACGTAAAAGCCGAGAGAACACGTGCGAATACACGTTTTATTATCTGACGTCAACACGATGCACACAGTTACGTATATATATATATATATATATATATATATGTTAAACGTTTGTTAAAAAAAGAATAAAAATAAGAAAAAGAAAAATGTTAGGTAGGATGATATGAAAAAAAAAAAATATATATAAAAAAGAAAAATATAAGAATATTAGAAAGAAGAAGAAGAAGAAGAAGTAGATATCGGATA